ACAGGGGCTGGCTCGCCCTCTGTCCATGCAGCACCCAGCACGATTGAATCTCAGACGGGCTCTTTGCTGCTGCTAAGACAAAGAACAAGAACGTGGGGAGTCAGTATCAGGGCTTGAGCTCAGGACTTGTCCAGGACAGGGGCTGGCTCGCCCTCTGTCCATGCAGCACCCAGCACGATTGAATCTCAGACGGGCTCTTTGCTGCTGCTAAGACAAAGAACAAGAACGTGGGGAGTCAGTATCAGGGCTTGAGCTCAGGACTTGTAAGCACCCAGTCCCCATGTCTCCCTGAGTTCCCAACTCCCCCCCTCAGTAATAGCGTGAAACAGTTCAGCTCCCGAAGGCACCTCTGGAGAGCGACACCACGAACAGGATGATGATCAGCAGATAAGACAGTGCCAGCAGCACGTAGACTGTGAGGGAAGACCTCAGCCTCTGCTGGGGGAAGTGCCTGTCTTTAAACCAGAAGAAACAAAGTGTGAGAGTCATGTCTTGCCACGTTTGGCAGCTACTCTGGTGCCACATTCCAGGAAGGGTCCATTTTTGGTTTGTAAAGGAGGGTTAATAAATGATTAGCTCCAAATCAGAATGTTAATTGCTTGGTGTAGAGGTCTATAGCTAGGGCCCTACCAAATTCAGTCGATATCGGTCAATCTCATTGTCAGGAGATTTTAAAAATGATAAATGTCACGATTTCAACTATTTCAATCTGAAATTTCACCATGTGGTAGTTGTAGGGGTCCTAACCCACACAGGAGTTATGCGAGGTCACAAGGATATTGGGGGCGAAAGTTGCAGCATTGGTACCCTTACTTCTGCACTACTGTTGGTGGAGGCGCTGCCTTCAGAGCTGGGCAGCTGGGGAAGTGCAGCTGCTGGCTGGGGGCCCGGCTGTGAAGGCAGAGGTACTGCCAACAGCAGCACAGAAGTAAGGGTGACATGGGTACAGTATTGCACCATTACTTCTGCTGCTGGCAGGGCGCTGCCTTCCGAGCTGGGTGCCCAGTCGACATTACAACCACCGCTCTCCAGCTGCCCAGCTCTGAAGGCAGCACAGAAGAAAGGGTGGCAACATCCTGACCTCCTAAAACAACCTTGCAATCCCCCTGCAACTCCCATTTGAGTCAGGACCCCCAATATGAGCAAGGCTGCTCTCCCCTGTGAAATCTGTCTAGGACAGGGTAAAAGCACACAGAAGGCCTGTAGGACTAGGGCTACATCTAGACTAAAAAGTTAGGTCGGAAAAAGGTTTGCAATTTGCGTATCTTCCTCCGCTTCTCTGGCGAAAGAGGCTTTTCCAAAATTTGGTGCGTTTACACAGCACCACATTTCAGAGAAACCTGCTCTTTCGAGCCATCCCGTCTTCCTCATAAAACGAGGTTTACAGGGAGGGTGAAAGAGCGCGTCTGCTTTTCCAAAACAGTGGATGTGTTCTTTGGACCTATGGTATCCCGGAAAAGCAATGGACTCTAGACATAGCCTAGAGCCCAGTGTGCTAGGCACCGTATGTTATTTTTGGGTGTGTTATGGTGCTGCCTAGGAACAGGGGCGGCCTTAGACTAGCTGCCCGCAACTGGCGCCCTAGGAGAACCCTGCAATCGGCGTCCCCCCTCCAAACCCCTCAACGATATTGCACTATTTGGCACCCCATTTAACTTGGCACCCTAGGCAACCGCCTAGTTCTCCTATACAGACGGGCCGCCCCTGCCTAGGAACTCACTCCATTATGCATCAGGGCCCCATTGCAAACACAGAACACCCAGGCGTCCCGGGGCACCTTACAGACCCACAGATTTATTTTGTGGGGAAAAGCCATTTTGTCAGATGCAACCCAAACGGTCACGCTCGTGGCTTTTACCCATGAAAGCTGATGCCCAAATAAATCTGTTAGTCTCTGCTACCATGTTATTTATTTGGAAATAAGCTTATTCCTCTTCACAAGCAGGAGTTGTTATTTCAAAAGAACAGGCCCTTTTATTTCGAAATAACGGGCTTGGCAGGGTGGATGCTCTGCTTGTTATTTCAAAATAACTTCCTAGTGTCGACGAGGGCTGAGACTAAACGCAGAACAGAGACAAGCCCCCAAAAGCTCACAAGCTCCTAACCATGCATGAGACATACCGCTCAGTGGTGGTAATCATGATACAAGAGAGGGGGACCCCGGCTCCATCTAGCTGAGGAAATGGGTTGTGCCCCCAAACGTTCAGATTATCTACCCTTTTGGCTAGGCTAAGGTGCTGCAGGACCATTCATTGGTTTTCATGGTTTTCAGTCCCAGACTAACCCGGCTACCCCTCTGAGACTTTTGAACAAGGGAAGGGTTTACGCTTCCGCCCATACTGTATAAAGTGACCAAGTATCAAGCGTCAGAGCTGTGTTGAGCATCTGCCCGCTAGAGGGTTATTTTCCTCATCATTCACTGAGGCTTAACTAACATTCCAAATTCACCCCTGGGACGCTAAGTCCGGGTCCCAAACTTTTGAGAGTGGCTGCACATTCTGGGTGACGTGCCGCGGTTGAGACAACTTAAGGCGAGTGTCTTTTCTCTCAACAGCCCAGCTCCTCTGAAGCATCCTGGGTTGGACACGGATGCTCTTTTCAGAACACCAGGGCTCACGAGTCTCAAGTCAAAGCAGTGACATCACTGATGTGGGAGAAAGGTCCCCTCCTTCTCTCATCCGCCAACATAAGAACATAAGAACGGCCGTACTGGGTCAGACCAAAGGTCCATCTAGCCCAGTATCCTGTCTGCCGACAGTGGCCAGCACCAGGTACCCCAGAGAGGGTTGACCGAAGACAATGATCAAGCGATTTGTCTCCTGCCATCCCTCTCCAGCCTCTGACAAACAGAGGCCAGGGACACCATTCCTACCCCCTGACTAATAGCCTTTTATGGACCTAACCTCCATGAAATTATCCAGCTTCTCTTTAACCTCTATTATAGTCCTAGCCTTCACCGCCTCCTCTGGCAAGGAGTTCCACAGGTTGACAACACGCTGTGTGAAGAAGAACTTCCTTTTATTAGTTTTAAACCTGCTGCCCATTAATTTCATTTGGTGTCCTGTAGTTCTTCTATTATGGGAACTAATAAATAACTTTTCTTTATCAGCCCTCTCCACACCACTCATGATTTTATAGACCTCTATCATATCCCCCCTCAGTCTCCTCTTTTCTAAACTGAAAAGTCCCAGTCTCTTTAGCCTCTACCCTTTCCAAGGCCAAAATATCTTTTTTGAGGTGAGGAGACCACAGCTGTACACAGTATTCAAGATGTGGGCGTACCATAGTTTTATATAGGGTCAGTAAGATATTCTGGGTCTTATTTTCTATCCCTTTCCTAATAATTCCTAGCATCCTATTTGTCTTTTT